TCTCGCACTGCAAGTGCTCAAATACCATGGAGCCGTCATACACTGGCATATGCATAGGCAACTAGGAGCAAGAGAACAGCGCATTAGGACCTGAAATTCAATCTTGGAGAAATCACTTGCTATCTGGCATACTCCGGAATATGAACATATTCTTTAAGCTTCAGTATGGAACATTTGACTTGCGGGCTAGTAGTATCACCGAAAAACAATACAAAAACGGATTGTTGATAATCAGTGCAATATGACGGTCGGTCTGATGATACACACCGGTACCAACCGTCGATCCGTATATTAAGATAAACGTGCGGGTAGGGCTCGGGTCGTCTATAGCAGTTAGCTTGTTTGGAGCCACCAGGTCAAACAAACCTATTGCCACAGACCATCCGAAGAAATACCGAGAGATACGCATCGAAAGATCGATATCGGCGAATCATGCGACGGACCGTCATACTGTGTTACTTAATAACAGATTTCAATATAGCCCATAGCATTTTACATCGCGTGACATTTTTGACCAACGCCGAAACTGCTACCATCCAGTTGGAAGTCATCGGCCAATTAAGTTTCAATAAAACTAAACATGCTGGAGATTGACTGTATTCTGCCCTGAGACGTCTATGCATATGTGCACCAATCAACACCTTGTGGTTCTGGCAATAACACTATATTAACAGCATCGTTTCTACCCAATGACGCCTAAAACTAAGTTAAAATAATATTATTGAATGAGTAATAGCCATGCGCTCTAAGTCGAGTAATTAAAAGCAATCGATTTCTCTCTTGATAAAAAGTACAGCGTAGTAAGCAATTATTATTTTGAAAGAAAACGAACCTAAATTATGTCTGCTACCTAAGATTAATTATACTTGATGGATCTGTCTTCTGTTTTCTGTTCCGCCATAATTTCCTTTCGAAACTGGTTTTTATACAAACACAAGTTTGGAAAACACCGTGTCATGATTCGTAAACACATCACAAAGCCTTAACAGCTGCCACTGTCATCGCTTTCAAAGGTATAAAATCGATATCAAACTCGCGCCTTAAGTACTGCCTGGTTAGCTGATTTACGTCAACGTACCTTACTGTCAATAAGGTTGCTATAGTACCACTTCGTGGGAAACAAACAGGGAACACTTGACACAGCAATAGCCACTACTTTCAAACTAAAGCATTCTTCACCGATAGAACAGAAACGGATATCGGTTCTACACCATAAACTTCATGTAAGGGGCCTATAAAGAGCGCCCTATCACGAAAGAGTAAGGGAGGCTGATATCCCAACGGTTACTGCTTTTCCGCTTTTTGAATTCGCTACCAGGTTAGAATTAGGCGAATGTTATGTGCTACGATAAAGGTCAAAGTGTCTTGCAACAATTTACAATTCACTTCAGTATTTCCACATTCGATAAACGAACTGTAGTCCTATTTTTCAAAGGATCGTTAGACTTGGACTACTGAGCTATTATCAACTTTGACATTCATGACCATTTTATCAATATCATTTGCGTATCTTCCTTCCATGTAATCGGAGTCATTTGGCCAACAACTATATTTTCGATGATGGCTTTCAGCATGCATACGGTATGCTCCCTATAAAACAACACCTCTGTCCCCATAGAGTAGAGTTGGCAATGAAAAGGGACAGGATCACAAGGTAGAAGACAGCTGTACGGTATACTCTTGAAAAAGAATACCCTAGCCTCGAAGACTTCTCATGTCCCCTAGAGCCGGGGCTGATAATGTTGTTTCTGTTTTTAAGAGGCACATGTCCAGGGGAAGAACATTTTAAAAGCCGGAGGGAAACTGGAGCAACCACACTGGGAAGCTTGGGACTAAATTCTTAATGTAACCATGATAAATGCATTTACTATGACATCAATATTCTTAACAACTTTTATGACGAGATAACGCTAAATGGATAATATGGAAAAGTGGAAGTAAAATTACAACCTTCTGGACCGTTCACATCTAAAAAACGCATCAAATCATGCCCGGTAACGTCATCGAAAATTTTATTTCCAGCTGAACACTGACCGTTACAATTCACCATTGGAGAAAAAAACAGCAGGATATCATTCCTCTGCCTGATGGCTTATTCACAACGCCGGTCACTACTTAAATTTTGAACATAATGATTTCGACTAAGGAAGTTAAGACTGTCAGATACTTTCTGAGCCGAGCCGACCAGACGTGATTAGAAAATCAGAAACAATAGCTAGAGAAGGAAAATGAGAAAGTTATCCTGTCTTCATCGTCATCATCATGAACCTTTGCCGAAACGCTTCCTTAGGATGAAGGCCTCTGTTATAGGCTTACATTTTCTGTCATTTACATCCATTTTGATCAGCGAAATTCTTGGCTCATTCTGCCATCGATCTGATGGTCTTCTTACGGACAGTCTACCCTCTCTTGGAACCAAATCTAATGTCTCGCCAATCCAATGATAATAGGTTCTTCTTGAACACTGCCACTTCTTTACTCAGAAAATTACATCAGAGGTTCTTGTTTGTGTTTCTATGCATTTATTTTTCTATGTTTAGTTGTTATTCCCAGCATACATCTTTCCATTCTGCCTTGCAGTTTATGAATATCTTTCAGGCTTAAGATCTAGGTTTGTATCCATAGAAAACCACGGAGGATAAATACTGATTTTACCGCAAGCACAAAGGCAGTTTCGTGAATTTTAATCTTTATATTTTCAATCTTCCAAAATTGATCCAGGCCACCTTTATTCTTCTGTTGATTTCACAGAGTCGATCCTGCGTTGTAGAAATTACCTATCACAGATAGATACAGTTTTCCACTTCTTCAAACCTAATTCGCTGTCTTCAACAAGTTATGCAGTCGTTTTTGCTGAACATGACCTCAGTATTCTTCGGGTTCATTTTCAATTCCCACTTTCATGCAAGTGTCTTTCAGTTCCTAGACTTCTCGCCATAGCTATTCTAGTGCCTTTGAACGGATCAAAATGTCATTCATAAAGCGCAAGTTGCCTAATTAGTGCCCATTTACGTTCTGCTGCTGACCTTCAGAACGATGTGTCTTGTAAGCCGCTTATAAGGCCGCTGTGAGTAACTACGGTGATGTGCCGTCTACCTATCAGATAAACTTTTCCATTTTGAACTTGTTTTTTCTTTCATGACGCTTATCGCTTCAAGTTGCATCCTTGCCGATTATGGCCGCGAAATCGCGGCATCTTTTCTCGATGCCCTGGCTTCTCAAGGAATACAGAACAGAACGGATACAGACTGAGTCGAACGTCATCTAGAAGTAGATAAACTCCAGGCAGAGAAGAGACTGATATTCGTTACTTATCTGAATTATTTATTGTACCACTGTACTAAATCCGCAAACGAAACCTGCTTGCTCCTCGGACTGTGCAGCGTCCAGTTTATTTCTTTTAAGCC